CCGGACCCAGAGGGTCGGTCCAGTCCTCGATCCCAAGCTCAATAGGGTCGGTCCCCGATCTCAAAAATTGGGGATCAATATTATGCGGGTTGATCTCAGGATTAGGTGTTGGACCGGCCCAATTCGGACTACGCTCACTCGTAGGGCATCCATTCAAAGAATTTCTCGTACGTCTCCCTATATAATTACATGAAATGTGCGTATCTATAGAGACAGAGCATTAATGGAAAGCACACGAAAGTCGTGGCTGGTTAAAGCAGGACCCCACTAGAAGTGGCCAGCACCAGCAGCAACTTCTAGCGAGATCTCGCACTCGCACGCCACGTGGGGTCGTCTTCCAGGCGTGTCGCTGCATCGCTCCCTACAGAACTCGGCCGCGGGGAAGCCCGTTCTTTTCCCGACAACATATTCAAATCGTTCCTCGCAAAACATGGTGTCGTCATCGATCACACGAGAGATGTTCGGACAAAGGCATGGCTTCCCCACGTGAAATCACATGGAAAATTGGACGCCCATTTGCATCCGTCCACCCACCAAGTTCTCTCCACGACACGCGCCAGATCTGCATCGACTCGCTCCCATCTCTTCTTGATCAAGTTCAACATGGCAGTATACATAAGAACATGCAGGTTGAGATGCCGCGATCCAAGCCCCATATGCCACAGGTTGTCATTTCGGCGCCCTTTTCTTAAACGGACCCCCAATCTAATGTTCGGAGAATATGCTTTTGCACTGCATGACGGACGCATTGGATCTGGCGGGATCCGGATTTGGGATTTGACCGGGAACCGGTTTTATTTTATTGGCTGATTGCCAGGGATTGCAAATTTTTAACTAGTGATCAAGATTCTCTTGCCTTCGTGTTGTGGAACGGCGACCCGTTTCATCTTTTCCTTGTAAGCATTTGGGGGCGGGTTGTCATGATCTAAAGTTAGTACGGTTGTACATGAGCAATTGAGAAATTTGAGGGGAAAAGATGCGATTCTTTGGTCTTTTTAACTATATTAATCTAAATCTCTCTCTCCAGTTCAGTGAGCAATGCCTAGCTATTTTCTCAATTAGCATTCATTCTGATTAAATTAAGATTTAAACTTCTTGACCGCTGAAACTTTTCTGCGTAATCTAAGGCATATTGTCTGCGGCCGTTTGGATCAAGCACGAGTCAACATAATGCAGGGGTATTTAGACATTTCGTATTTTTCTTATATCTTTGTAATTTCTAGACGATACCGTCTCAAACACTCGCCATGTCTATTCACGCTAAAATGAATAATGCACGCAATGTTTACTCGTGCTAGGATAGATAATGTCTTCAAAGCTTTTTGGGGGTTTAGCTACTCAAATTCTCCTATTCCGATAGTCTCTTGGGACGCGAATGATAACCATTTTGTTTCAGAAACAATTCCTGGAACAGAAATAGATTTTTCTATTTCTGTTCCCAAGACGAGTTTCTAATAAAAGAAACCCGTTTGATAACAACCAAAAATTTTATTTCTGGAATAGAAACCCATTTGATAACAGCATCAAATTTCTATTTTCTGGAATAGAAACCGTTTGATAACAACACAAATTTCTATTTCCCAGAACAGAAATCCATTTCTTTAGAACCACTTTTGGGGGTTAAACCTCTTTTAGGGTTTTTTAGGGGTTAAAACCCATTTTAAATCCCTAACTAAGGAGTCTTCAAAAATACCATTTGGGCACCTCAAAAAATTTAAATTTCACTAAAAGTGGGTGGCCACAGATATTCTAAGTCATCCTGTGAAGTTTTGAAAATTTTGATTTTTTGATTTTTTTTTGAAAAAATTCACCAAATTTCCTATTTTCCCGAAATATGACTTTTTTCTATTTTTTGGAAAATTTTATGAATTTTTCTGGAATTTTTCAATTTTTATGGATTTTATGAAATTTTTTTTTGAGATTTTTAGAAAATTTTCCGGATTTTCTAAAAATTTTTTTATGAATTTTATGAATTTTTTGATTTTTTTTATTTTTCTATTTTTTTTTTGATTTTTCTAATTTTTTTAGAATTTTTTTTATTTTCCCGCCTGGAATGAATTGAACCGAACCGGTTCGAATCGGTCTAACCTGGTTAGACAGGGGCCAAATTTAGGAAGAGATGTGTTTTGAAGAGAGAAGACATGTTCTTTTAGAAATGGTTTTCATTTCTCATCTAAAAATAGAAAACCTATTTTTTTTTTTGTTCTGATTTTTTGTCTAGAACCAGTTCTGGAACAAAAAGTTGTTTCAGAAATAGAAAAATGAAATTACGTTATCAAACGGGTTTCTGTTCCAAACCTGTTTTCGGGAACTGAAAACTAGTTCTGGATAGAAATAGAATGGTTATCATTCGCGCCCTTGATGAACATTATTGGTATTGTTGATTAACACAATTGAGTGTATTTTCTCATGACCCGTTTATATTCGTACTTTCTTCCAAACGATCTTACGAATTATGCGTTTGCCTCTTGATCGGGGTGTCGTGCACTCGAGGTAGCTGGTGTACTACCCGTGACCAAGAGAAAATATTCGATAGTTAAAAACCACCACATTAGCACATGATGTGGTATATGTGTTTTCTACTTAGAGTTGACATATGTCGACAATACTACATCGGGTATAAAATATAAAAAATAAAAAAAGGATTTTTTTTTCATCTCTACTCCTCATCATCTGTTAGGAGCCCTCTGAGCGCCACTGGTGGAGACCTCCCATTGCCGTTGTCGCCAGCGGAATTGCGAGCGCCACATCCTGTGCGCCCAAGCCAAGCCACCCTTCCGATGTCGCACAGGGCCGTCCTACTCGTTGCCCGATTTGGCCTTGTCCATAGCTTACAAGGTGGCTCGTCCATAGTTTTCGGCGAGTTTGGACAAAAGGGTGACTTGGCTTGGACACATCAGCGATGTCGCTGGTCTAGATTAAGGGTGAGAAATGGTCTAGGGTTGACCCTGGACCGACCTTAGACCGATCCAACCCGATCGGTCCTGGTCCGATTCTCAAGGGGATTGAGTCGATCCTTGGTCCTAGAATCCCTGGACCCTGCACTGTGCAGGTTAGTCCTCGGTCCTAGAAGTTTAGGGTTGGTCCAACTTGGACCCACCCTATATATATAAAAATATATAAATAAGAATATATTTATTTGTTTTCCAAAGAACCTAAGGCCCCTCCCTCCTCTTCTTCTGGCGTTGAAAATAGAAACCCTATTGACTATTGAGCGTCGCCTCTCTTCTTCCCTCGCTTCTCTATGCTGCTTGCTAGATCTGCCTCTCCTCGCTTGCCTCATGAATCAGCTTGCCTCTCTTGGCCTGCCTCGGCGCCTCACGAATGGCAAACGCAGGTTGCCTCGCTTGGCCCTCCTCGAAACCTCACGAACAAACAAAATATGAAGTTGTTTGTTTTGTTTTCAGGTGTTTAGAAATTGAAGTAATCTTTTGAGAATGAACAAGATATGAAATTGTATAATTCATAGTGTGTTATGTTTTTTTACCATTTTATTTTTTAATTTTATTTCACGTGTTCGTATACTATTAAGTGGAGATTTTTGTTGTTGCCTTATCTTAGATTTTTATTTGATTTATACTGGGGTCCATAGTTTGATTACTCAATATTGCATTGTCGATAGATATATATTTTTAAAGTGTACCATTTGTCCATTCAAGGAATAAAACAAACGAAACATAAAAAAAATCGGGTGGTCCCGGGTTGACCCTGGAACTGGACCAGACCCATAGGGTTGGTCCAGTCCTCGGTCCCAAGTTCAATAGGGTCGGTCTTTGGTCCAAAAAATTGGGGACCAACACTGTACTGGTTGGTCCCAAGGTTAGGTGTTGGACCGGCCCAATCCGAACCATGCTCACCCCTAGTCTAGATATGCTAACTTCCAAGTCCAAAATATGAACTTCTAAAGCTAGAGATGGTGACTAGTCTATGGTTTGCGAGTGACGACGGAGCGAACTCAGCTTGGATGATGGCACCGGTGACGCCGCTAGTCCAGAAATGGAGTTGTGCCTCTAGATCTAGCCTGCGAACTTCCTAATATGGAGCTGGTGATGGCGGCTCCTCCATACGACGACAGAGAGAACGGAGGGGTGGCTCAACTTGAACAAGCGACGCCAGCTATAGCTATGGATGAATAGATCTCTTTGGACAATGAAGCAAAGAAGCTATCTCTCTAGGTAATGAAGCAAAGAAGCTATCTCTCTAGGCAACGAAGCAAGCTTCCATGGTTGAACGATGACTCTGAATAAATTTTTTGTTTTTTTCATTTAATTCCAGATCAGTGTACACATGTCCATATATAAGTGCATATAAGTAAAAATTGTATCCACGTAAGCGCTGACGTGGTCATATCTAACCATTGAATATTTTCTCCTTAATCAAGGAAGCTACATGGTTATTGATATGGACTGTGGCATTTGATATCATAGCTTAAGTTATAGCGAAAGACTTTGGGATCATAGATGACACTCGAATGACCAAAGATCGAGGATTGGGAGACTAAGGGGAATGCCCTAGATGGCCTAGGGGGATCATTCACGGAACTCGATGAGCAGATGGCCGTACCGACACGAGCCATGGGTAATGCACCCAACTTTGAGATGGGTCGGATGAAGGTGTGAGAACCGGCTTATTCCAGCCCGCGCGATTCTAAAAGTAGCCCGAGAATTTTCTGTTCGGTGATACTTTGTGACCGTACGTCCCAACTCGGAAGAGACCATGGTAACGATGGCGTCCATGCATCTCCCCGGGATGATCCTTTTCATCACTACAGCAGTAGAAACAGTAAGTGAGAGAGACTTGCCGGCCGAACGCATGGAGCTGCAGGGGGATGGGCGAAACATGCGGTGCCCCGCGGGTGCAGAAGGTGCACCTGATCTTCACTCGTTCGATTCGATTTCCTTTTCGTGAAGTCAATTTGATCATCGTTTCTAACTTTCTACCTCTCTCATTCCGGTGTTGGGATGTCTAATTCCAGCTTTGCATAAAACCGCACGCGAAAGTAAAACAAAGGCAAGTCGTCCAGCGTAAATGTAAACACGAGCTGCATTACACACCCAAGAAGTAAATATATTTACACGCATTCGGTTCGGGTTTCGCTATGTTCTCCACAATCACAGTCGGGGGGCAACATCCATCCAACGGCCGACGTTCTCCGATCCTTTTCGTCACCGTCCACCAAGTGACCCACACGATCACTCGTCGTCGTCGTCGGCGTCGTAGACGTGACACTCGTCGGTCTCGGGATTGTCGCCGCAGAAGGACTCGAGGGGGTCCTGGTGCAGCACCTCCAGCTTGAGGCGGAGGTGGGCCTTGGCCTGGCTCACCTCCTCCACCTCGTCCCACGCCACCCGGCACTCCGCCGACGCCGCCGCCTCCCCCTCGCACGCCTCCTTCGCCTCCGCCACCTTCTCCTCTATCATCTCCCTCAGCCTCCTCTCCCTCATCTGGGTCCCCTTGTACTTCCCTCCGCCGCCGCCTCCGCCCCCCATGGCCTTCACCGCCGCCGCGGTGGCGAAGGCGCCGGGCTTCTTCCCCTGGCGGCGGGTCGCGACGCCGAGCGACGCGACTGCGCTCGGGGAGAGGAGGATCGGCGTCGGAGAGAACGGTGAGGAGAGGCTGAGGGGCGTGATGGATGAGGATGCCATGGCGATGGGGAAGAGTGAAGTTGCTAACTTTGATGAGGGAGGTGAAGGCAAGGTGGTGGCGTCTCTCTCTCCTCCTTTTCTCGCCTCCTCCGTCGATCCGAGGAACGACAAAGAGGGGAAGAAACAGGAATTTGCTAATGTAGAATTGCCGTCTGGATCCTGGAACATTGTGGTGGATTTGCAGATACATTCAGCGTGAGAACGAGGCCCGTACTCTGTTCTTCCGAAGGAACAGGCCCATCTGGAAAGAGCGAAGCCCACGAACAATCCACCATGCCCGAGCCCTCCACTGCCAACGGTTATGAGAAACCACTGAAGCTCCCCCCAATTTCAAAACATTTGAAATCTCTCTCTCTTTCTCTCTCGCTCTCTCTCTTTCTACCCTTTTCTACGAGCACGCAGGGACGCTCAACGTCGCCGATGGAGGACGCACAGATCCAGAACGTGGACCCGGAAACGGCGTTCCTGGCCTCGAAGCGGCAGACCGGCAACGAGTGGGAGCTGTTCAAGGAGAACGTGAGGCCCCTGAAGAGGGGTCGCAACGTCAACCTCCTCAACGACGCCCTCAAGTCCCACACCGACAACCACCTCAAGAAATCCCTCCTCGACAAGCGAAGGTCTCTTCGACTTCGCCTCGCGACCCCTTTTCTTTCCTTCAATCCTTTTAAAAGTTTCGTGGGCATCATTCGGGTTGTTTAATTGTTGGGTTCTTTAGGAAGTTGATCGAGGCGATTGATGAGTACAAAGGGGACGATCCTCTACAATCATGGCTTGAGTGAGTTATCATCAACTTCTTCAGGGCGGTTCATTTTGAGCGTGCTTTAACGAGTTTTGGAGAATCTCTTTGCTTGAATTCGTGCTTGACTTCTGTTCTTGCTTGTACGATCAGCTGATATGTTAGCCTAGGTCTAGCTCCGAGAGCTGAAGCAAATAACGGTTCCTCCAACTTATTGGGAAATCATCTTGTTTCTTTCCCATTTTTGGTGGCTTACAAGTCGCAGATCTCATGATTACTGGAGCCGTGCCATCTGAGGATTAAAATCTTTTGATTGAATTTTAGTTTTTGAAGTTTCTGAGATTCATGGCATATGTGGCAAATGGGAAGCGCTTATGTGCAGTGGGCTTTATTTTCTATTCAACTAATTTTTGAAGGTGTATCAAGTGGGTTCAAGAGGCGTTTCCCCCGGGTGGCGACTGCTCGGGGCTACTTGTGATATATGAGCAATGTGTTCGTGCCTTTTGGCATTCGGACCGCTACAAAGACGATCTCCGCTATCTTAAAGTTTGGCTGGAATATGTAGGTTCTCATCACCAGTGATCTTCTTGCAAATGATCCAATTCATCAGTTGATAGATGCTTGACTGGAATTTTACTGCAGGCTGACAACTGCAGTGATGCAGAAGTTATATACAACTTTCTGGATGCCAATGAGATTGGGAAGCCACATTCTCTGTTCTACATATCTTATGCTTTGCACATGGAATCCAAGAATAAGGTGAAAGCGGCTAATGAAGTTTTGAATCTCGGCATATCGAGGTAATTATTTCTGTAGCTTAGTGTGCAGGATAGGCCATCTGCTCTTTTAGGCTATATGACTTGGTGGGCAATTAGCCAGTAAATAAAGAATCTTCTGTCGTAATAAGGTTGCATATGCTCTTTGATCACCATCTTGAGTGGCAATACTTAATAACCCTTGAAACAATCTGGCTCAAATTCTGTGCAACATTGTTGAATATGTGCTTGCTTTTAGGTAAAAGTTTTAGAATCAACATTTCCACTCTACTCATTTGACGTTAAGAGTAAAGAAGGGGTGAGCCTTGCATTGTACTTTTGGGGACTGTGTTATAACTGAAAAGTACAGTTATGCACTTCTTATTTTGTTACCAATCTTCTTATTCACGTACTTGACGAAATTTCTCCATATCGAACTCAGGTTCATTATTTTATATCTGTCAATTGCATAAAGTTTTGACCGTTTGCTCGTGCATTTTTATAGGAATGCTCAACCAATTAAAAAGTTGGAGGATGCTTACAGAAAGTTTTTGGCACGCTCAATGAGAAGACCATTAGCTGTAGATGTATGTAGCATCTTATTGAGAACTTAGCAAACAAGTATTTTACTCCAGGTCTCTTATGTCTCAGTTCTTGCACTGTCTAGGAGGAAAAAGCGGAGAATGGGCCACCGGCACGAAGTTTTGGAACTGTCCTGGCAAAAGGAGAAAACAGTAAGCCTCATTTTGCTCTTTGTTGCTATTGCGCATAACTTATTCTTAAGCCATTATTTTATGGTTTTGTAGCAAGGCAGGCTACATCAAGTTCCGATCTTGCCAGCAGGAAACAGAAGGCTGAGAGGTGTGTAATTGTTCATTAACTTGGCCACAACATATCTGCATTTTCTTGTTTATTTTGGGGAATTTGGTGCAGGTGGAAAATTTCGGCGTTATTAAATGCGTGGAAATGCAGATCTTACAGAATATTTAAGTTTTCATCCTGTTGGTTGTCATTTATCCTACGATATGTTTTACCTTTCGAGTTGATGAGACAAAATTAAAATATGTTATAATAGGAGCCTTTGCTGTAATTACGCAACTGATCCTATGATGGCTTATATCTGTGTAAATCGTTATACACGGTTCCTTTCCTATTTCCAATTTTTCATTTGTTACTTTTCTTAGGGTTCTATTGCCCATTTATAAGGATACGAATGTGGATAAGTCCTCGAGTCATCAGCCCGATATGTCAAAGAAGGAACCAAATTTCTGGAATAGCCTTGGAGGTCGAGCAGAGAGAAACAAAGAGAACAATGCACAACCTGTTAAATGGACATCCTACAAGGTTCTGCCTCTCTCTCTCTCTCTCTCTCCAATGTAAACCTCAGATATATTTCCAGATTTTTCTAATTCTTGCAGTTTCTTCATTTCTTTTCAACCCGTAACATTTATACCATTTCTTTCTTTCAGATACCCCAGAAACTTGGGCAGAGGACTGGAGTGGCTGCAGCTGGTACCTGTATAGAGGTGTTTGTTGATGAAGAATGTGCAGAGTGAGTGACCATCACCACTTTTAATTTAGAACCATGTTGCATCTGCAAATAAAGTAGTGTATCATTGAACATTTTACGCTTTTCGATGCTAGTTGTCAAATAATGCAGAAATTGGTGGTGAAGTTATCCAATTTATGCATAACCGTCTTGCTTCATTGAGGAAAACTTATGACCTGTTATAAAAAAAACCTTGACCAGGACGGGCAAAGGTGGAGGCAAATCATCAACCTTGGAGCTCAGGCAAGGCGATGGCAAGGACCTTAAAAAGTAAGTCGTCACTGGGATGGTGGTTTCAGAGTCGGTCCCATACCTAAGTAAGTCCACTGACTCGTGCTTATCCTGTCGCGTTTTGCGTAGGGAAACGGACCTACTCAGAGAGAACCCGTTGCGCAATTTCCCTCCCAACAGTCTTCCCAGGTGATCAGACCGGCAAATGTGAGGCGTGTTGTACACTATGCATACGTTGGGGTCAGCTTTTACCTCTAAGGCTGATTCAAAATGGATTCTGGACATCCATTTTCAATTTTTTTCCCTTATTAATGTTTGTAAGCAGTCGAGCAAGCACACATCCGTGCTGTCGAACGTAATGTCTGTTGTCAATGTTGCATTTGGATAGGCGAAGGATGTTTAGCCCTCCACATGCTGTTGCATTCTTGTGACCAGGACCGATGGTTTGAATTGGTTGAATGCAGTTTATTCCCTCTTTTTTCTCCTTCCCATTAGATCAAGGACAGCACAGTTCTCGCATCTTCCATACGATGTATGCCGATGATCATCAAGCTACACCGCAAGAATTTAAGTAGTGTAGATTGTGAGATCGATGTCGCTTTTGTTAGGTTTCGAGAATCAGACGAACTAGTTGATTGGAAGAGCTTGATGAATCCACTCCTCTTGTGCCTTGCCTTCTCGTTTAGTGCGCTGCGATGAAAAGGGTTTCGAATAAATTACTAAAAACATACGGAGTGACTTCGTCGACTATAACATTGTATGGAGTAATATCAGGCGCAAAGCACAGGTGGTCAAATCACACACAAAAATACAAGTGGGGCTAATTCCAAAAAAACTATCAAATTTATCTTGAGCGACAATTCTAATTCGAGCTTTTTTTTTGTCTCAATAAAAAGGATCAATTTTTACTCGAGTTCCAAATCTGGCCTTTGTGGTGAAATTTTCAAATTATTCGGACCACATTTGGAATTTAAGTGAAAATTGATGATTTTTTTACAAAAAATAAAAAATTCGAACCAAAATTATCACTCAAGATAAAATAAGCGTTTTTTTTTTTAAATTAGGCCGGAGGAGTGCGGGGCCTTAATCTAAACACCTTATGGCACGAGCCGACCACAGCCGACAGCCATGCACATGTCGAGTCCCGCTTTACGTTTGAATCCCTTTCGAACCGTAGGCCGAAAGCCAAAATGGGCTCCACTTCAATTGGGCCTCGTGGGCCTCACCTTGCCAAATGGGCCAGCTCCACTTTATAACGTAAAAAGAAAAAAAAAAGTTAGATGCATCCTCCGGCCACGATGCCTCGCACGCTTGACGCGGGACTCCCTCCTAAACGCGCACCTCTTCTTGCTTCCTGCTCATCTCTCTCTCTCTCTCTCTCTCTCTCAAAATCCAATCACGCGCACGAAAAACCAGCAAAGTCGAGAAAGAAATTTTTTTTCGAAACTCGAGCGTCGAGCCTCCCTCTTCTCTATCCAACCTGAAATTAGGGTTTTGGACCTGCGCGCAAACCACAGCAAACCACCCCCCCAAGCTCACCTCCTTCACCTCCGATGAGATAAGCTCCCGCAAATCATACGCTTCCGAGCTTCCTTTTTTGGGCGCTTGCTTGGGTTCCGGCTCAATCGATCTCCATTAGGGTTTAGTCGACCATGGCGGAGCACCTGGCATCGATCTTCGGCACCGAGAAGGACCGCGTGAACTGCCCCTTCTACTTCAAGATCGGCGCCTGCCGCCACGGCGACCGCTGCTCCCGCCTCCACAACCGGCCGACCATCTCCCCGACGCTCCTCCTCTCCAACATGTACCAGCGGCCCGACATGATCACCCCCGGGGTCGACGCGCAGGGCCAGCCGATCGACCCCAGCAAGATCCAGGAGCACTTCGAGGACTTCTACGAGGACATCTTCGAGGAGCTGAGCAAGTTCGGCGAGATCGAGTCCCTCAACGTCTGCGACAACCTCGCCGACCACATGATCGGCAACGTCTACGTCCAGTTCAAGGAGGAGGATCAGGCCGCCGCCGCGCTGCAGGCCTTGCAAGGGAGGTTCTATTCCGGTCGCCCGATTATCGCCGATTTCTCGCCCGTGACCGATTTCCGCGAGGCCACGTGCCGGCAGTTCGAGGAGAATAACTGCAACCGGGGCGGTTATTGCAATTTCATGCACGTCAAGATGATCGGGAGGGAATTGAGGAGGAGGCTGTTCGGGAGGTACTCGTACCGCGGGTATCGCGGGGCGAGGAGCAGGAGCAGGAGCATGAGCCCTACTAGGCACCGGAGGGATCATGATCGGCGCGAGAGGGACCATAAGGACCGTGATTACCGGGGCAATGGGAGGCGTGGAAGCGGGGAGCGGTATGATAAGCACGAGAGAGCTGGAGGAGGTAGGCGGCCAAGGAGGAGCCGTAGTCCAGTTAGGGAAGGGAGCGAGGAGCGTAGAGCCCGGATTGAGCAGTGGAATAGAGAGAGGGAAGAGAGGCAGTGATTTGAAAGTGAAGCTGGAGTTTGCATTTCGGTTCTTGAACTTGATGGTAACCATCCTAGGCTCGTGTGTTACTTTTCGCTTTCCTGATAACGTTCGAAAGCTGGAAGTTATTCTGTGCTGAGTAAGGCCGTGGGAACTGTTAAGCTGGTGGTTTAGCTGTGATTGGTAGATTTATAGTTCATCGCGAGGATTTAAGTTGTCGGGACAACTCTTATTTCGCGGGCATCGAGTACTCTCTGCTCATTTCAGCTGTCTTTGAAAACTCTGTTATTTAGTCCTCTCTCCATGCGAATCTGAGGAACTTGCTTGTTTACAAGTGACTGTCGATGTTAATGCTCTTTGGTCGTGTGGAACTTATTTTCAATGAGATTATCACACTAATGTGGTGTATAGAGTTGGCCCATGTCTCTAAACCCATCTGACCCGGCGGGGATTGGTCCGTTTTCTGGGGTCATCCAAACATACTGTTTTCTTTTCTTGTCCGATGTTAGGTTTAGTTACGATTTTGGCACCCTGTTCATGTGATTAGATGCTATAGAGACGCTAACTCAACTAAATACACCATTTAATTTCTTCATGGATTCTTGGTTGAAAATTGGGATTGATCCTGTTGCATACATGTTGCAGCAATTTTTAGGTATCACCGGGATCTCAAAGTCGGTGCTTCATGGACAGAGTATTTTATTTCTTTCCTCGCTTTAACTTGACTTTTCTCTTCCTTTTCTTTCTCTAATATCGTTTCACCCATCTTTTAGGGCCATTTTTGGTAGCTTTCAGAGTTGGTTAGGTCAACACAGTTGGTTCGAAAAGGAGAGTCTTCCGCGGTATCTGCTGTATATTATGATCCTATATCCTTCCGATCTTGAAACTCTTGATTTTGCAGGGCACAGATTAACCTAGTGTTTTTTCTTAATACAACCTATCCATGTTCAAGTTTTTATCCCTCTAAATGTCACAAACAGGTTTTCAGGTTTTTGCTGCTGAGAATTGTTTCCATTACAAGGAGCCCATATAAGTGCTGACTCTTTCTGTGTCTTTTAGCTGCAGTGCAGCAGTAGGATCATATTTAAAGAGGCCAAAAGCTATGGCGCAATTTCCCTCTACAACTTAATGTAGTTATAACCTCCCTCTAACTAAAGCTGCAGAGGCTGTTCACTCCATCATCTGGACAAATGAGGTTAAAGGGCAGATGCATTTTATTGCGCTTTAGAACAGTCGGAGTTGGTTAATAGAGGTTGTGTGGGGAATATAATAACCTCCTGCAGTGAGAGATCTTCAGACTAATGATATCTTGAAAGGACAGGCATGGCAGAGTAGTATTCTCATTTTCCTTTTCTTTCCTCCCCTCTGGCCTGGACATCACTCGATCACCCGACCTGCATTTCTTTCTTTGAAACATATATATGCAAATAAGTTTTTGCACTACTTTCCTAGTTGATCAAAATGAATTTTTCTTTGGTAGTGAATGGATTCTAGAGGTTTGATAAGCTCTTCTTCTTACTGTTTAGCAAAATTCATTGAATGCCATCTGGACGATTTATCACTTCTGGAAAAGGGCTCTTGCAATTTGCTGCCCACCGCTAATTCTTTTGAGTATTTTTCGGTTTCTAGGAGATTTTCTTTCTCTTGATCCTTCTTGTCTCTATGTATTTGACCTCCTTTGTAGCAAAACACCAAGTTCAGAGCATTTACAACCTCAGTCGATTGTTTACAGTCATTTTCCATGTGAGACACCTTTATATAATTTGACAGCTAACATTTCCGAGGTATCTATTATCTTGCTTAGGGCATTACTAGGTAATGCTTCTGCCTTTTGCTTTTTGTTTAATCTAAAACTTGCGGTGGACTAATTTCAACCTTTTCTTTGCCTGAAACACCTGAAATTTTGACAATAGATAAATGTTGATATGTAAAGTCTTATGTATCATTTAATAGTTTTTGATAATTGGGTACTATTTTAAATTTGCGAGGGAAACGTACAAATGTACTTTTTGCTTCTCTTTCTATTTCCCCCCAATGTGACTTGATTTGTCAGCAAGTCTTTGCTTAAGCCAAATCCTCTACTCTTTTTTGTGCGTGATTACTCTTTTTTAACTTCTGCGAAGGTTGTCGAGTTGCCATTTTATGCTCTTGTTTCTGTTGGAATTGCAATTTAGCCATATATCGAGAGATTATTCTGCAGGTCTTTGCTTGCGCAACTTCTTGGCTTGATGCATTATTCATTGCGATTTCTGTGTTGAATTTCTTCTGAGAAGTTTGGCAAGATATATTGGCATTTGCCAATAAAGTATGATTAACTTTTATGCAGTCGGGATAGGTAGACATCAGTTCCTTCTCTAGCAATTCGCAGCTAGAATTTGAGCCATAGTCATTGGATTAACTCCCTTCCTTTTTGCATTTATTAAGTCCTGACCTTGTAGAAACTAGTTTTTTTTTTGGGTAAAGTGACCTTGTAGAAACTAGTTTGTCCCCTGTAAGTCGCAAATCATTTCCTTCAGGATCATCTGTCGGGCCGAGGAGTGTCTGCAAAAGACATAGGTTTTTGGAGTTCGAACAAGGATCAGAATGATGGTCTCTTTCCCCTAAATAGTTAAAATTGTCAGGTTTTTCAGAATGGATGAGTTTGAAGGGCAGATAAATGTATGGACGTTGCAGTGATATGGTGTCTGGTTAGTTATTTCCAGGCGGGCGGACGTCAATAGATGGTTGTGCAATCAGAAGAACTGAAGTTGGGTTATGTTTGCCAATGTCGAATGTAATGTTCCACCTCATTGGTCTTTGTAGAAAATTGCCGTTTGTTTATTTAGAGCCCCTTATTTAATGTCACGAGAGAATGCAGCAAGACTGTACGACTTTGCTCAGCCACTTATCTCTTCCTCGAGCACCTGTCTCTAACACCTCACAACAATCGATGGTCTAATTTTCATCTAATATGTGCACCCATGGATGCTGTACCCGAGCATGTTTTGCAGACTTCCAATTCGTTCGATGTGAAATGTATCGTGTAGGTGGTTAGCACTCACTGATGGAGGATGACGCTGGGTACTGAACTTGCAAGAAACTAGTTGTGAGATATGGAAGATGGCATTGCGAGGGTCGTCTCTGCATTTACCTATCTAACAAGCCGCGATTAGGTTCCCCTCAAGGAAGCCGGGAGGCGAGGATTTCTCTCCTCACCTCTTGCAATCTGCTCCCACCCCCACCGCGTACTCATCTCGGAATTTACTAGATGCAGTGTCAGGATACCACTGCAATTCCCGGGGACTTTACCCATCGCAGCGAATGGTTACAGAAAATGGTGCGGTGCCGGTTTTCTCCGTGGCCATTGGGAAGTTTAGGTCGAAAGTTGATAAAGATGGTCTACCGTGTGTTGCGTATGTATGAGGTGTAGCCTAGCTCCTAAGACAATATTTGACCCGAAAAAATGAAAATGAACGACCTTTGTGCTGCAGTGTTTATGGCAATGGGTGTTTGATCAGCTCCCGAGTAATATGGTTGCAGTCTGAGAGAGTGAGCACGCAGTGGTTGGCGGTTATTTTTACATGGGGGTGAATTTGACCTGATTTTACATATCTCGACCGACAAAAAAATTAAGGGCCTCTTTGTAAAAAACAACTTGTTTGCCTTTGTTGTCAAAATTTCAAATACTACCCGAATTTGAAAAGATTATGGGCACATTACAAGTGGATTTACGTGTGAACATTTGTATTTTGTGAAAATTTTAAGTGATTCGGGTTGTGAAAAAGTTTTGACCGTGTCAGTGGCAAGATTTAAATTAAGTAACAAGCAAAAGATAAAAATGTATGTGGGCAGGCCTTAAATGACATGGATTGTGATCAAATATAAAATATATGGATTTAGTGGCATGTCTAATAAGAACTATAATGTTTTCCAAAGTTGGTATTTTTTTTTTCGCTCAATGCAATAGCAAAGAATTAACGCGAATTCATAGCTCCAATTTGGCACGTATGCGTGAATTGTGGGCTGCAAGCAAGGTGCAACAAATGTAGCTCTTTGTTTACACTCAAATTTAAGTCAAAGTACTTCTTTTGCTTTTTCCACTGTGAAATATTATCAAAGTTTTAAAAGATTATAAAATATTTTTTTACTGATTTATGTGTTCATGTTTTATATATTACGAAATTTTAAAGTATTTTGATTGCCATTAAGGAAAAATTGGAATAGCTAACTAGATCCCGATATGCCAAGCCTTTTGATAAACTCTCTTTAGTCAAAAGAAGAAATATCTAGTGACAACTCACGGGTATTCTCAAAACACTTATTAAGGGATCACAATTTTATTTTATTTTTTCTCCCAAGATCTAATCCACGAATTATTTCATAAACGCGATCGGAAATAGAAATGATTTAACCGAAAAAAACCACGCGATGGCTTTTGCGTAAATCTCCTCAGCTCCTTCATAGTCAATACACTTTTTCAATTTCCTTTTTGCTGTCTCTCTTTACATTTCTGAGTTTTTTTGATTTCTTATCAAGTTTTCCCGATTGCATTAGCCTCTCAGTTCTCTAATTAATCGGATCGGATAAAATCGCATTTACGTTAATCACGTAATTTACAAATTCGCGCGGACATGGACGCCAGCATCTTACAAAACGAGGGACAAACTTTGAAATTTCAAAGGAAATTTGTCCTTCATTGCTAATTTCGAAGAAGTTTCCAATTCCTTGCTCCCGAAGTAATCCACGCACGCGCTTTGTTTCTTCCCTCTTTCCTTCTTATAAAACAACAGGAACATTTCTTCCTTCACTTTTATTTTTATTTTTAGTTTTTTTTAATTTTCTCTCCTCCTCCTTCTACTTCTGTTCTAATGGAGAATCTAGGATTACCAGGAGATGACTCGGTATCGGAAATCGACTTCCAAAGCCTGTTCGACGGGTCATCGCCCGATGCCGCGAGCCTTCTCGACGCCGGTGATGTCGACGCCTCGCCTCCGGGCTCGCTGTCTTGGTGGATCGGCGAGATCGAGGGCATGCTGATGGAGGACGAGGAGGAGGAGGCCGTCGCCGCCGTCGGACCGAGTCCGGAGGTCTTCGATCGCTTCTTCGCCGACCTGCTCGTCGATTCTCCCGAGGGCGGACCGGCCGAGGTGGCAGTGACCGACGGCGCGAGCGACAAGGAGTCCAGTTCACCCGGCGGCGGCGGCGGCGAGCGAGGGGAGAAGGCGGTCGCCGGAGATAACGAGCTTTCCGAGGACGCTGATGGCGATCCCGTCTCTAAGAAACGGAGAAGGTATCAGTGATTCGCGCGTATAGCTTTGTTTCAACTGTGGACGCTACTGTATGAAGCTGCTGTTGGTTGTTTTCTTCCTAATTCTTACCTGTCGTACTCTGTTTGGAAAACAATAGTGTTCGTCTCATGGCAATATTCTCTGAACTCGTCTTGATTTATCTTCTGATTGGATCCCATGTAAAGTATATTTTGGGCGCGGTTTCGTAAAGCAATTAATGAACATGCTCTGGCTGGTGCTTCAATGCTGGATATAATATTCAAGAACCATGTAATGCATTGTGTGATTCTATGAGCTAGTTTACTGGTTTAGGTACTTGTTATGTGGTTCCGTCGGAGAATAATTAGATCGTGTGGAGAATTCGGGCCGTCGTGTATTCGAAGGTGCGTGTTAGGTGATTCCACATGATATTGAAGACTTTGTGGGGGATTGTTATTTTCAGGCAGCTCAGGAATAAGGATTCGGCGGCTAGGTCGAGGGAGAGGAAGAGAACTTACGTGAAAGAGTTGGAGATGAAGAGCAAGTATCTGGAAGGGTAATGCCGGAGACTGGGGCGGTTGCTCCAGTGCTTTATGGCTGAGAATCAAGCTCTACGTCTGAATGTGGAGAATGGCGGCGCATACGGTGCTACCATGGCCAAGCAGGAGTCTGCTGTGCTCTTGTTGGGTACGTTTATATGCTTGTGCTCCCGAAGCATGGGGAAATTAATATTATCTTTCTTAGCTCCATAACAGCGAACTCTTCATTTGATTTGTGGAGCTCATGTGATCCAAAAAGCCACCGACTGCAGTCTTCAGTACAATACTTAACAGCACACAACAGCTTGAAGTTAATTTATGCCTTCTGAGAAGAAGTCGATTATAATGGGCCGCGGAAAGATGAAATCTTTAGTGAAGTTGAAACTGAAAACGAAATCTTCAGTTTTGGGTATAACAGATGTTGTCTGTGGTTACGAATCTAAGCTTCAAATTTTTGGCAGAGCTGATACTTGAAAATTGAGTTTTTTTTTAACGGTAATTTTTGTACGGACTTTTTTCTTTGCCGACTTAGAGGATGCGGGTCAGTTTGTTGATTCTAGATTTATGGAAATTTCGAAGAAGCATGATTTGGCAGACCCTTTTGCAACAATCTGCTTTTGAACTGACTCCTTACATCTGCACAGATGTATTGTCAATTGCTTCTTAATCGTGACATAGATGATCTATTTTCTACTCGTA